TGATATCCTGGATTCATGTAGAAAGAAAAATTTTACAAAAAAAAAAAAAAAAAGGCCATACATGTCTGATAAGGTTTAAGAGAAGCTAAAGTCATATGGATAGAGGACCCATAGTTTAATGCACGCAGAGAGCAAGCAAAGTTAAATCGAGCAAAAGGCCCTAGGGTAACCCACACAGGTGGATCTATGGATTACAATGACTTTGTGCAAAAATTGGTAAAAATCTTACCTTTATCTTTTAGGTTTCATATCATAATTTATATAATAATTAATGTTAATGTTAATTGTAATGTTTGTGTCAATTAACATAATAATTGAATATGTGATATTATAGAAAGAAAAAGATCCTGAATATAGGGATCCATCATTCATTGATGTGATTCGTGCAAAAAAAATGCACAATCCAAAGGAAAAAGATAAAATGTCAACATATATTAATGAATATGCTCGGGAGTATACTGTGAGTATTATTTCTTTGCCCTTATTATTTCTTAAGAGGTTAATTTAATTGATATTTTCTTTCATTTTTATTCATATTAAAGAATTATTTAAAATTAAGTGAAATCAGATTGCATTTTAATTTTATTAAATACCATAACTGAAAATATATATATGGTTGAATTTATTTTTATACTTTATTTACAAAGGGAAACTATAGTTTTTAGGGAAAACTTTGTTGAATTTTTTATAAATTTATAATGAATTATGAAAATTTAAGTAATTTTAATATGATGTTTATAATTATATTGAGTCTTTAATCAAGATTAAGTAGGGGAATTAATAAAAATTGTATAGATATATTAAATAAAGAAGAAAAATGTGCCAAGCTAGTGGGTACTTAATGTCCGAAAAGTGGTTCAATTTATATGATTTGGTGGGCTTGATCTTGAATTAGATTTGAACACATATGAAAATGGAAAAAAAAAAAAAAAAAGAAGACCTCTTGGATTAGCTAGGTCCAATCTTGATTGGCTATTGATTTCCTCATAATATTCTCTTTCTTTTTTTTTTTTTCTTTTTTCTCATTCTTTATGCCCATATATTTCTATTTTTGTCATATGAGCTTATGAAGTCTATTTTCTTGAGATGTATAAATTCAAGAAAATCCCATTTATCCATCCAATCTTATTAAATATTAGAGGATCAAAAAATATATATATATATATATATATGTTTGAATGTATTTTAATACTTTATTTACAAGGGGAAATACAATTTTTAGGGGAAACTCTGCCAAATTTTTCATAAATTTAATTCTAATGATTTGCAATAATTTAAGTAATTTTATTATATTGTTTATAATTATATTAAGTATTATAGTTGCAAGTATATGATTGAGTATATAATGTTTTTATACTTTATTAAATGATATAATACATTACATAATTTATTGTAAGAATGATTAACTACAAAAGCCGTTCAAAAATATAAGGAAGATACAACTACATGGCCAATAATAGTTGA